GATACTGTCAGAAAAAAGTCTTAAAACTACATATTTTAATAAGAAATAAATTCAACAAAGAATGATAATACTGAGAACCAAGACATTCAGAGATTTCAAGTCATGCTTTTTTTTTAAGTTGATCCAAAATTTTGTCAACTAAGTTTTCGCAAGTTTGTTTAGAGCAAACGTTACTCATAAATGTCACACATATTTCACACACTTACTTTCTTCCCAATAAAAGACCTCTGATAAACATCTAAAATGTTCGGGTTTATCATAGTTGAGATGAAACTGGAACAAATACTGGTATCATTTTAGCAAATCTCTCCTCAAATGTTTTGAGTGTCGTGAGTTTATTCAGCCAACCAAAATAAAAATCAAAATGGCACAGCATATATTGTAAGGAAATAAAAATAATTGGCATTCATTTTAACAAGATTTTGAGTTCCAAATTTTTCTCCCTCCCTCCCCTCCTCTCTTCTGAAAATGGTAGTCAGTTTGATATAGTTTATACATATGCTGTCATGTAAAACATATTTCTCTATTCATCATGGTTGTGGAAGAAGAAACAAATTAAAGGGGGGGAAACCATGAGAAAGAATAAAGTAAGTGAAAAAAATACATTTTGATCTGCATTCAGGGTCCATCAGTTCTTTATCTGGATGTGGGCAGCATTTTCCTTTGTGAGTCCTTTGTACTTGTCTTAGATCATTGTGTTGCTGAGAAAAGCTGAGTCATTCATAGTTGATCATCACATGATGTTGCTGATACTGTGTACAATGTTTTCCTGGTTCTGCTCATTTCACTTTGCATCAGTTCATACAAGTCTCTCCAGGTTTTCCTGAAATGTGCCTGTTCATCATTTCTTATTGCAGAATAGTTTTCCATTACATTCATATACCACAGCTTGTTCAGCCATTCCCCAATTGATGGGCATTCCCTCAATTTCTAATAATTTGCCACCACAAACAGGGCTGCTATAAATATTTTTGCACATGTAGATCCTTTTCCCTTTTTTATGGTCTCTTTAGGATCCAGACCTCGTAGTGGTTTTGCTGGATCAAAGAGTATATGCATGCTTTTATAGCCCCTTGGGCTTAGTTCCAAATTGCCCTCCAGAATGGCTAGATCAGTTCACAACTCCACCAAAAGTGCATTAGTGTCCCAATTTTCCTACATCCTCTCCAACATTTATCATTTTCCTTTTTTGTCATATTAGCCAATCTGATTGGTATGAGGTGGTATTTCAGAGTTGTTTTAATTTGCATTTCTCTTATCAAAAGTTATTTAGAGCACTTCTTCACATGTCTATAGATAGCTTTGATTTTTTTCATCTGAAAACTACCTGTTTATATCCTTTGACCATTTATCAATTGGGGAATGGCATGTATTCTCATAAATTTGACTTGGTTTTCTATATATTTGAGAAATGAGGCTTTAATCAGATACTTGCTGTGAAGATTGTTTCCCAGCTTTCTGCTTTCCATCTAATCTTGGTTACATTGGTTTTGTGTGTACAAAAGCTTTTCAATTTAATGTGATCAAAATGATCTGTTTTACATTTTGTAATGCTCTCTATCTAGTTTGGTCATGAATTCTTCCCCTCCCTATAGATCTGACAGGTAGACTATTTTTGCTCTTCTAATTTGATTGCTTCATTGTCTGTGGTACCTTTTAGCAAGATGTAGTTTCCTTCCTTACCTCTTTTAATTAGGTCTATTTTTGCTTTTACTTTGTCTGAGATCAGGATTGCTACTCCTGCTTTTTTTCACTTCAGCTGAAGCGTAATATATTCTGCTCCAGCCCTTTACCTTTACTTTGTGTGTGTCTCTCTCTGCTTCAAGTGTGTTTCTTGTAAGCAGCATATTGTAGGATTCTGGGTTTTGATCCACTCTGCTATCCATTATCCACTTCTGTTTTATGGGAGAGTTCATACCATTCACATTCACAGTTATGATTACTACCTGTGTAATTCCCTCTATCCTATTCTTCCTCCTGTTTGTACCCTCTTTCCTTTCACTCTTTCCCATGTCACCAGTGTTTTGCTTCTATCTACCACCTCCCCTGGTTTGTCCTCCTTTCTGTCAGTACCCACCCCCATATCCCCTTTACTTAATCTCCTCCCCTCCCACTTCCCTGTTCGGTAAAGTAGATTTCTGTATTCATCTAACTGTATATTATTCCCTCTTTAAGTTAGTACTGATGAGAGCATCGTTCAAGTGATGCTCATCACCCACCCTCCTATCTTCCCCTCCACTGTAATAGGTCTTTCATGCTTCTACATGTGAAATAATTTACCCCTTTCTACCTCTTCCCTTCCTTCTGCATCTGTTGTACTCCTCTTTCTCATCCCTTAATTTTTTTTTATATCATTCCCTCAAATTTACCTTATATCCACATTGTCTCTCTATATATATTCCTTCTAGCTGTACTATTAGTGATACAATTTTTAAGAATTATAAGTTATCATCTTCCCATGTAGGGTTGTAAATAGTTTAGTTCTATTGAATCCCTTATGTTTTCTTTTCCCTTTTTACTTGTTTATGCTTCTCCTGGGTTGTGATATTAGAGGTCAAATTTTTGGCTTAGTTCTGGTCTTCTTTATGAAAGCTTGAAATCCTTCTATTTTATTGAATGACCATTTTTTTCCCCTTGATGTATTATGTTTAATTTTGTCAGGTAAATGATTCTTGGTTGTAGTCCTAGCTCCTTTGCCCTCTGGAATATCATGTTCCATGACTTCCAATTCTTTAATGTTGCAGCTGCCAAGCCCTGTTGATCCTGATTGTGACTCCCCAATATTTGAATTGTTTCTTTCTGGCTGCTTGGAGTATTTTTTCCTTGACCTGTTAGTTCTGAAATTTGGCTATAATGTTCCTTGGGATTTTTATTTTGGGATCTCTTTCCTGAGGTCATCGGTGGACTCTTTCAATGCCTATTTTGCCCTCTGGTTTTAGGACATCTGGGCAGTTTTCCTGGATAATTATTTATTTATTTAGTTTTAGTTTTCAACATTCACTTCCATGCAATTTTGAGTTCCAAATTTTCTCCCCATCTCTCCCCTGACCCCACCCCAAGACGGCAATCTGATATAGGCTCTACATATACATTCATATTGAACCTATTTTCACATTAGTCATGTTGTAAAGAAGAATTAGAACCAATGGGAGAAACCATGAGAAAGAAGAAAAAAAGAGGGATAAAATAATGTGCTTCGATCTACATTCAGACTCCATAGTTCTTTTTCTGGATGTGGACAGCATTTTTCATCATGAGTCCTTTGGAGTTGTCTTGGATCCTTGCATTGCTGAGAGAAGATGAGTCTACCAAAGTTAGTCATCACACAACGTGGCTATTGCTGTGTACAATGTTCTCCTGGTTCTGCTCACTTCACTCAGCATCAGTTTATTTAAGTCTTTCCAGGTTTTTCTGAAATCTGCCTGAGGCCAGGTGGGATGTTTCTGCATTTCCCCAGGGCTACACCATTCACCAAAGCATGTGGAGGTCTAGCCACTGGAGGATGCCTGTTTGCCCTGGGCTGTGCTGAAGCACGAGGAGGTCCGGCCATTGGAGGGTGCCTGCCCACTGGGGGCTGTGCCGAAGCACATAGTGGTTCTCAGAGCTGGAGTCTGCCAGTTCCCCTGGCTATGCTAAGGCACGAGGGTAAGGGGTAGGGGTCGGGAGTAGGGGGTAGTTGTGGTGTTGGCATTGCCTGCTCCACCACAGTAGGGCTCAGGGTCTCCCATTGGTTTGCTGAGGTGGGGCTTGCTGGGACAGTGCCTGTCCTGGAATGTGCTCCCCTTTTACCTGAGTGAGATGGACTTCTCTTGCTGATCCTCCTAGTCTCCTAGGATAAAAGACTGCTTCACCCTGTCTTTCCACTGGCTCCTCGGTAGCTCCGCAGTTCCAGGATTTGTTCTGGGGCACTATTTTATGGTTTTTTGGTTGTTTAGAGATGAATATGGGAGAGCTACATCAATTTATTGCTTACTTTGCCATCTTGACTCCTGGAAGTCTCTATGCAATATTGACCTTTACAAGTTAGCTTTCCTTTGTCACCAGATATATCCACAGCTGAGCTTCCTTTCTGCTTTGGCCCAGCTGCTTTCTTCTTTCTGGAGCTACTTGTAGTTGTCCTCTACCCTTCCCCAGTACTGTATTGGATACCTTCCAACCTGAAGGACTCATCTTCCGGTGTCATACCTTTTATCATTTTAGTAGTGTAAGTTAGCTCATGTTCATCCAGTTGTAGTAGTATGGATTTCACAGGTCAATCAGAATATCAGAGTTCCCCTTTTCATCACTAAAAAAACAACCTTTTTCTCCACTCCCTTTCACCGCTTACATCTGATACTGTTGCCTTCTCTTTCACTCTTGGGTTCTGGGATATGACATTGTTTATGTTCTTTACCTACTTTTCCTAGGTAGCTTAGTGTATAGAGCACTGGACCTGGAGTCAGAAAGACCTGAGTTCAGATCCAGCTTCAGAGAGTTACTAGCTACGTGACCTGTTTCTAGAGAAAATAGCAGTAGACTTGAACTGTATGTTTCTATACACACAGACAAATAAGCAATCGTCCTTTTGCTTGGTTAAAAGACGGCAAAATATGCTATTTTCTGCTATTTCTAGCTGTAGCTAATAGTTGATGATCAAAAGGAAATTAGTTTTTGTGACATTTTATTTACCTAAGTTCAATAATGTCCTTTAAAAAAAATAGAGACTGGGGGCAGCTAGGTGGTGCAATGGATAGAGCTGTGTCCAGCCTTGGAGTTAGGAGGACTTGTGTTCACATTCGGCCTCAGACACTTGACACTTCCTAGCTGTGTGACCCTGGTCAAGTCACTTAACCTCGATTACCTCTCCCTCTCTCTCTCCCTTTCTCTCTCTCTCTCTCTCTCTCACACACACACACACACACACAAAATAGAGACTGGCATGCAAAATAAATATTTGAAAAATTCTGGGGGGGAAAAAAGATGGCAAAATACTTAACCTTTTTTTTTTCTTTGTCCTTTAGAGTCATCGGTTTCCTGGAAGCGATTGTTTGCATAAAATTTGGGCAAGATCTGTTCTCCAAAACTCAAATACTTTATGTTATACTTTGGCTTCTTTGTGTGGTGAGTTATTCTTGTTCAACATAACACTGAACACCAGAACACAATTGTAGAGCTCCAAGACTCCTCTCTAAAAAAACGTTCCTCCAGGATCCTATCCCACGAAAATGTATCAGAAAAAAATCTATTTGAAAATCTTAAGATTGGCCTCAAGCAACTGAGGTATTTAAGAGTTCATGAGTAAAACACATTGACTTAAACTGAACTCATGGCAAATCATAATAACACGTCAGAAAAATACCCATCTCTTGCTTAAAAGAGATCCTGAGGCATTTGGAAGTAAATGCCAACAGATAGAAAGTAATACAACAACTTCATGCCATAAACTGCTTATTTGAAGTCTCCATTGTCATCTACCCATACATGGGAGCAAAAGGCAGAGGCTTTATATGGGGCTGCCCTGACATTGTCTCTCATATCAGTGTCTAGAAAAATACCTTTCCCCAAATCCCTTCTCCAAATACCCATACTCTTTGTGAATTTCTATAACACTTAACATTAACACTCATTTAACATATAGTAGACACTGCCTTATGCTGACAGTTAATTTTGTGTGTGTGTGTATGTGTGTATCTTTCCAGCTAGATTATGAGCTCCTTGAGAGGAGATTGAGTGATATGCCGATTGATTGATTAAGGAGGGAAAATAAAAATAGAATCTTGTTGGTTTTTCAAATCTATGAGTTTAATAAAGGTCAGGGCTGTCCTCTAATTCAGAAGTCTGAGTTGCACATTATTCAACAAGCGGAGCCTTTTGTCCCTTAGAGTTCTAAAAGAAACACTCTCTGGAGTGGGCACTCAGTATTTCCCAAGATCTCCTATAAGAGCCAAGTAAGTTGATCAGTAGCAATTGTGTCGTGACCAGTTATTATGAATGTAAATGCTCATTACCATAAAGTGAAAGCTAAACTCTCTGTACAGCTGTAGCTGGTGGTATGTGTGTAGGATCATGTACAATCTATATCTTTTTAATTTTTTTTCTCTTTTCCCTAAACAAAGAAGAGGCCTGTGCAATTGCTGTTTTACATTCCGGCTTTGACAAATTAGGGGGTGCTTGCATAGGCCACCACAGGTGTGAGGGCAAACCCGTGAATTACAGGCTTTTGTCTCTTGTGACAAATGTAAGATGGATCTCTCTCGCCTTATTTTCCCCCTAAAGATGGTAAATTTGTCAGTGACAACAATAAATGTTTTCTGGCCTTGCCTTCTAAGGCAAACCATTTGTTCAACAGTCATTTCTTTAAGCACCTACTTTGTGCCATGCAGTAGACATCTTCCAGTGCCCACTAAACCCTTCCATAGAACCAGACTTTGAAACTTAAGGCTCCCCAATATGTGAATCTCTTGATTCATTAAATTGATCCTTATCCTGTCTACCTCACAGGGTTGTTATGAGGAAAATACTCTGTAAAATTTAAAGTTCCCTAATAAGGAGATAGCCCTTCTTCTCACTAAAGCCAACTCTTCTGTGTGATCCTTTGATCTCATCCCTTCCATTAAATTCTCCATTAAATTATCCCTTCTATTGTCTTCCCATCTTTAATCTTTAACATCTTCCTCTGCCTACCCCTTATCCTTTCTGCTGCCTACAAACAGTTCCAAATCTTCTCTGCCTTTAAAAAAAATTTACTAGCCACAACCATCCCCTCAAACTATTCCTCCTCCCGTTCTCAGCCAAACTAAAAAAGCCATTGACACTCATTACCACCACTTCCTCTCCTTTCATTTCTCACCTTATCACTCTAGCTTCTGATAGCATCACTCAGCTCAAACCACTCTCTTCAAAGTCACCACTGATTTCTTAATTGATCTGATAATCTGATCCAAATCTTCCTCTTTCTTGATCTTTTTGTAACATTTGACATTATTGTTGATCTTCTCCTCTTGGAAACTTTCTCTTTTCTAGGCTTTTGTAAGACTGTTTTCTCTTGGTTTTCCTTTCTCATCTCTAACCACTCCTTAGTCTCCTTTGCTGGTTTAACGTCCACTTAACCTTGGGTGTCACCCTGAGGTCCTATCATGGTTCCTTTCCTCTCTAGACTCTCACTTGGTGACTTCACCAACTTCCTGAGGTTTATTTGCCTTCTTTATGCACAGATCACCCAGATCTATATATCTAGTTCCAGTCTCTACCCTGAGTTTCCACCCTGCATCACCAGCTGTCTGTAGGTGTCCCATAGACACCCCAAACTCACCATGTCCAAAATAAATTCTCTTTTCTCCAAAACCAACCCCTCTTCCAGACGTATCTATTTAAAGTATTCCCTGTTGAGAGTCTTCTAGTCTTCCAGGTTTTTAACCTTGGTGTTATCCTTGAGTCCTCACCATTCTTCACCACCCCACATGCCCAGTTAATTGTCAAATCCTTTCTCTTCTGTCTCCATAGCATTTTGCTCATCTGTCGCATTCTAACTGCTCACATAGCCACCATTATAGTTTAGGCTTTTATCATCTCACACCTGGACTATTGAAATGGCTTCCTAATTGATCTGCCTGCCTAAAATATCTTTCTACTTCTATCTTTGCTCCAAAAAGTTGCCAGAATGATCTTCCTTAATCAAATATTTCCCTATGTCACAGCTTTACTTAGACTGCAGTGTTTTCCTATTTTCTCTAAGATAAAATATAAACGTATTTGTTTAGCTTTTGAAACCCTTCACAAGCTTTGTTCTTTGTCTTATAATGTATTACTCCCTTCCCCCACTTTACATTCTAGGAAAAATGACCTTGCTATTTCTCACATACCACACTCCATCTCCTGTCTCTGTAGTCTTTACGCTGATGGGCCCTGTGCCTACAATATACTTCCTCCTCACCTCTAGCTCATAGAATCCCTTGCTCTTCAAAGACTCAGCTCAAGGACCATCTACGTGAAGCCTTTCCCCCTCCCACTACTACTAATGGTCTTTCTTTTTAAACAATCTTACATTTATCTTATATGTACTTGTATGTTGTCTCCTTGAGAGAATGTAATCTCCTTAAGGGCAGGGATTGTTGGGATTCCCAGCACCTAACACAGCACCTGACACAAAGAAATCACTTTAATGAATGCTTGTATCAACACGAGCATCTAATATATTATATAATATTATAATCAATAGCTTCAAAATGGTATATTTTAATAGAATTTTTCAGACTCATTACCTAATTCATTTTTAGCCTTAACACAGAGATATTTTAGATAACCAGTTTCAGTTTATACATGTGGCAGGGCAGAATGCATGAGTAAAGTCGTAGTATCTCTTCTCTTACATGGCAGATAGGCTTTCCATAGACTGATCTGTCATTCCAACACCTCTTTTGAGAAAGGAGTCAAATGCCATTATCCCCATTTTAAAGACAGGGCAAGTGAAGAATAAACAAAATACCTTGCCTTATCTCTTTTTTATGCCATTCAGTAGCAATTAGTGCCATGCTGTGGACAAAAGCCAGAAAACAGGCTACACAGCTCCTGATGGTTAGTACAGCATTTCCTACATCTATCAGGCATTGTGAGCGTTGGATATGATGGAGAGTGACTGCTGGATAAAGATACTGCCTTTTCAGATAGAAATAATTGCCTAACAAAACCAAAACTTCGATCCAGATTCAACTTTGACCTAGAAACAGGAGGTCTAGATTTACTCACCTGTTCTAAGCCTTAGTTTTTTCACTTTTTTAAAATAAGAGAGTCTAGAGATGATCCAAAATTCCTTCCAACTTTGAAATTCCAATTCCATAAGAAGTTAAACACATTTGAATTATTCACTCTGAAAAAGAAAACTATGGAATGAATTGGGGGTTGTCTTCTAGATTGGGGTTAAAGATAGGATTGTTTTTATTTTCTACTAAAGAACCGAAGAGAAGAAAGAGAAGAGATTTAAATTTATTCTAAGGAAGAAATAGTTGAATTGTTATAATAGTGGATAAGGTTCCGAAGAAGGAAGTAGCTTTCCCCAAGGATATTTGATAGTAATGCAATAGGCAAAGTGTCTGGGGATGGTTTAGTTACTGTCTTACATATAGACAAAGAAGTGAACTGTGTGTACTTTTGAGCTTTGATTTGATAAATCTCTAAGTTCCTGTTATTCACAACACATTGTGCTAAGCACTAGAAGTGGAAAATATACAAAAGTGAGTAAGACACAGTCTCTACCCTCCAGGAACCTATGAGTAATACAAATTACTACAGTACAAAGTAGATTATTATAAGTGCCATAATAGCAGCATGAAGAAAACACTATGGGGTTTCAAAGAAGGAGTAGCTTATATCTGGCTAAGTTATCAGGGCAGACTTTGTGGAGGAGGCAGAGGGAGTTGTGCCTTGAAGGATGTCAGATTTCAATAAAGAGAGCTGTATGAAGATTGCGTTCAGGGAAGAGGAAATAGCCAAGGCCAGAAGTGCTGGGTATATTGGGAGAATAGCAAAAAAAAAAAAACCAGTTTGGTTAGAGCACAGAATACTTGTGGGACATTAGTATGAGATAAATCTGAGAAAGTAGGCTGTTTACCAGAGTTTAATAGATCTTAAATTTCAGACTATGAAATTTAGACTTTCCAGATAGTGGGAAGTCATTGAAGATTTTTGAGTAGGCAGGTACCTTAACTGAGATTTTATGTAGGATGAATGAGAGAGGAGGGATTGAGTGTGGGAAGATCAGCTAGAAGGGTATTATAATATTATAGTCCAAACAAGAGGTTATGAAGGTCTGAAACTTAGGTGGTTGCAACAGGAATGGAAAAACAAGAGACATTGTGGAGGGAGAATCAGTCTTTTCATCTAAATTGCAGCTGAAACCTCTGTATTGGCCCTTCCTGTTAGAATTTGAATTTCTTGAAATCAGGGGCTGAATTAGCAACTGATTGATAAATGAAGAAGGAGAAAAAAGTCGAAGGTGATACTAAAGTTTCAAACCCTGGAGTGCCTTGGAAAGTAATTGAACATCATTAAGGAAATAGGATAGTTCGGAGGACCTTAGAAGGAGGGGATTTATTATCAGAAACATTTTATTGTATTATCAGAAACCTGGAGTTTGAGGTAAAGATAAAGCCCACATTCATGGGTCAAGGAAGCAGTGTCAGGCTGGAAGCTTTAGAGCCATCTTGGACTTTTTTCTCAAGAAGCTCCACATTCTGATAGGAAGAGACAGCACATAGAGATTTCAGCTGCAAGTTGGATGGAAATGCCCAGTGGTCCTGAGACTGCAAAGCAGATGACAGTGCATCTTTTTTAGTGACATTTTCATTGATAAATCCACACCTGTGCCTGGCATTTGATGGTGCCAAGGACTTTGATGATAAGAACTTTCCTTTTTGGATCTGCAGTAGCTAAAGCCACTGAGAAGACAGGGATTGCAGCACCTGCAGAGACAGGTGCCAGGTCCCATCTCCATAAGGGTTGTTTCCCTGGATAAGGACTCTGGGGCCAGGCTTAAAGTCATACCAATGGTTGGGGCTTGGGGCTGGGCAGTGCTGTTTCTGAGGGCTCTTGAGTACAGGATCCTGGGCTGCCTCCAGTCAATCAGTATTTATTAAGTACCTTCTATGTGCAAAGACTGGGCTATGGGGAGGTGGTAATCTAGGCAGTGGAAGTGGTTTGCCACACCTGGCACATCCTACCCTCACCTTTCCCTCTGGATTCCTTGATGTTACATTCAGCCAGGCTTGCATGCCTGCTTCGTTGGTAACAGTGGTAACCGGGATAGTGGATTTCTCCACCATAAACTTTAACTCTTGCTCTAAGTAAAGCTTTAAAAAAAAACATAATATTTGTAAGCTATTTAACATGTTTGGACTTTCATGAGAGAGTGTAGTGGAGCATTAGATTTTAGAGTGAAAGGACCTGAGTTCTAATTGTTACTTTGTTACTTATTTCTTCTGGCCTTTCGCACCTAAATTTACCTGCCTTGACCTCAGTTTTCTTACCTGTCATACGTGGGGATTAGAATGGATGATTTTTTTTTCTAAGTTGTTTTTGAGCTTTAAATGGATAAGGGTTGGAGGGAGGGAGACTACTTAGCCTGTGTGTTTACCCTGTTAGACTCTGATTTGACTTGATTTTTTTTGAGGACTTTAGATTTCAACCTCGATCTTCTGACTAAGTATCTTGGCACTTGTATTTTTTTTCAGCATCTCTTAAAAAAAAGAAGACTTAAGGAAGGGAAGTTCCATAGTATGATAATTCAAACAAAAAAAATAGTGAAAAAACAAGGAAGAAGGCTATGATTTCATTGTACTCACTCTGTGTAGCTATTCCAAATGTTTATGCCTAGGCATTTGTAAAGTTTTTTATTTGTTTTTCATTTGCAGGCTTTTACTACTTTCCTGTGTTTGTATGGTATGGTTTGGTATGCAGAGCACTGTGATCACCGAGAAAAGGTACAAGAGAGAAAAGAGTGATGATATTTTCTTTGAGTGATCCCTTTTGTGTAAGACTTTAATACAGGAGCTTAATAGTATAATGAAGGAAACAAGGTATCATCACCAGGACTGAATTGTCACCAGGTACAAAGAGAGCCATGCAGGACCTGGAGTCTTAAGAAGATCTAGGTGTACATCCCACCTCAGGCACTTAGTACAGGTGGCCTTGAGCAAGTCACTGCACCTCTCAGAGGTTCAGTTTCCTTAGCTATAAAGGAGGAAAGCCATACTTGCCCAACCAACCACAGAGAGTTGTTGTGAGGAGGGTACTCTGAAAACCTCAGAGCACAATATTAAGTGAATTATATCGGTGGTGGTGGTTGTCATTGCCTGCATCCATCTCACGAGTAACTCTTCCTTTAGCATCTCATTCAGTCCTGCTGCTCTGAAAGAACTGCCCACAACAGTATTCTCAGAAGCTGTGTACACATGGAGGGGGCTGTGCTTTCCAATGACCTACTGGTTTTAATCTATTCTTTGGCTCCAGTTTGGAGTTCACACAATAGTTATACCAAGTAATGGGAATAGTACAGGAGTAGGAGCCAGATCCCTGGTTTCTAGTTCTTGCTGCGCCACCCACTGGCTTTTGTCAGTTGGGAAAATTATTTCATCTCCCTCTGCCTTAGTTTCATTATCTATAAAATCAGGGTAATGATATCTGCATTGCCATTCTCACAGGTGATGTGAGGATCAAATGAAATAGTGTGGGGAAATAATTAAGAACTAATAACTATTGAGTACTAATAAAGCACCATCCAAAACTGAATTTTTTTTTTAAAGTACAATAGGAACACTCTTGGATCTTTTTATTTTTCATTATGCCATTAGTCAAAGACACCATCTTTGGTGTCTGCATTCCCACAGCTAAACCGAGCAGCCTAAACTAAGTAGTCGTGTTTCCTTAAGTTCATTTCTCTGCACCTGACTTTCCTCATCTCTGAAATAAGTAGACTGCACCTAATTTAGGACCCCTCCCGGCATTAATAATTTATGGTCTCGCATCTCTAAGATTCGTATTTTTATAGCTGAAGGGAAGGAAGCACAATGAGGTTTCTTTCTTTTCCCTTTCTTGTACAGTACTTGCACATTGAGTAGGAGGGCTGTGACTTGGACAGAAAGCATCCTGACTGCTGCTTTTTACGATGCCTCCCGCCAGGAAATTTGGGAGAACACTTAACAAAGTTTCTCTTTTGTCCCTAGACCTATTCTGAGTGTGAAGACAGCCCTTACAGTTCAGATGTCTCCTGGCTTCATACTAAGTTCACAAAAGGTATTCTTTTAATGTCTGATTATTTAAGACTTTTTTTTTAACTTGGTCCTGTTTTTTTTTTAAAACAGAAAGATTTATTCATAGCAGCTTTTCTCCATTAATTAAAGATTAAGCCACTTCCAGTATTGCTCTCGATTTCAGATGGGCAGAGAGGCACTAAATGCAGTTCTGGAGGGTCACTTCAGTTGAATGCCCCTAACAGTAGGATCACATTGTGGATTACTGAAGTGGTCAGTGGTAATGACTTTGCATTCTTTTTGGTAACGATGGATGCCAGATGAAAACACTAAAGCATTTATAGGGGCAAGTGACCAGTGCCACATTTACTAGATGATACAGTAAACTCCATGAGGACAGGGATTGTTTTTTAATTTTTTCCTTATCCCCCAATGCACCTAATATAGTACTTCACCCATAGTAGGTACTTTATAATTACATGATGGGGTAAACACATTTCTGCACATAAAATAAAGTCCTGAAATTTTGATCATCCTTTTGTCCAAGTCAGTAGTAATCTAGATTATTGGTCTTTAGAGGATGGAGTTAGGGATGGTTGCCATATGTGGCCTAGGGAATGATTGGGAGTTTTGTTTTTAATTGCCCTTTACTTCATAAAATAAATTTATCACCCCTAGTCTTGCACACCTCTGACCTTCAGAGCACTCTGGCTATAGAAATGCCTTATGATTTTTCCTGGGCATCAGAGTTTAGCATGACAAGCAAATAGGGCAGGAGATGACTGGACAAATATAATATTAACTGTAGGCAAGTCATTTAACCTCTGGGCCTCAGTTTTTTCCTATGTAGCAGAAACAGATGGGGCTAAGTGATTTTCTAAGATAACTTCTAGCTCTAAAATTCTATGAGCTTCTAATTACAATACTGGAGTTGCTGTCTCTCAATTTACTCATTAGGCCACTAGATGGAGTGCTAGTATCAGCTAAGTAGTCTGCACCTCAACCTTGGCAGTCCAAGGAAAGGAAATCCAGTCATCACAAGAAGAAGCATTTTGAGCTAGGTCTTGGGAGATGACAATGTGTTGTGATTCCTTTGACTAGGTACTGAAGAGAGCCCGCCTAAACATTCAGGAAATAGTGAAAGCCATTCTTCCAGAAGAAGAAATCGCCATTCTAAAGCAAAAGTAACCAATGGAGTTGGGAAGAAATAATAAAACAAAAACAAAACCCTGGTTTATCAAAGACGTTCCAGAGAGTGCCTAGAATTGAGAGAGACACTGGACTAGTTCTGACTTCCCTGTTAAGAGGTTAATATACGTAGAGAAAAACCAGATGAGGGGAAGGAGAGTAGACTTGGGATAGGGGAATCCTTGCGGGAAGGCTAATCTCCTGTTTTCACTTGGATCCTGTATTTCAGATCATTGCCTGCCACCCCTTGTCATTTCCCAATGTCTTCTACCTTTTACTCCAGCCCCATGTTTCCCCAGGAGAGGTGCAATGTGTCCAAACGGAGATGGAGCTTTCTTCCCCCTTGCCAAGAGCAGCTTTAGCATTGAGGGGCCCAAGATCCATTTTAAATCTGTTCCTTCAGGCAAGAGCATGAGCCCCAAGGGGAATGGACCTGTCACCAGTTTTGTTCTTCAGTCAGTCACTTTGTTTTTATGCTTTGGTTGATTTCTTTAAGCCTCTCTGCTGTCAACTATCCTTCAGTGGCAACACATGAAGCCTTCTGTAGCCATTGTGGGAATCTTTTCCCTTAAGGGAAAAATGGGGGCATTTTTGGTATTTCTGATATGGCCCCCTTTAAAAAACAACTCAAATGTCAGAAACCCATGAACTTGCAGAGAGGGCGAGTTGTCTGGAGAGGATGCTGGGCTTCAGGTCTGGGCCGTTTTTTGTTCCGTGCAGAATACCCTTTGTCCAGCCTTCTCTGCGACACATGAGCAACCCTTTTACAAAGGCAGTGACCGATGGTTTCTGTCCACAACCAGGTGCCTTTTACATTTGATCTTATGTTGTTTTCTTTCCACGGTGTAATGGCTGGCATTAAGTATGTCTTTTAGTCATATGGGAGGTGCTGGTAAGTATATTATCCTGTCATCCTCACCATGCTTTGTAGAACATTTATCCTAATGGGTCACCTTCACCTCCACTGGATCCCAGTTTTAAATAAAACCATTTCTGTTAAAGGCCTTCAAAGGCCTGATTTAAAAACTGACTCTATGAAATCACTCATTTCTTTAGAAACTCAAATGGATCTTCAGTCTACTTCTAAGAAATTACTATAATTTCCATGGACCTGTAGGGTAGGTAATATGACTGTTAGATATCCTGTTTCTAAAGCTTTACAAGTGATCAGCTACAAGTAAACAACATTTTCTTTGTTTATGACTATGATGATTATTTCATCAATCAAGTTTTTTTTTCCTAATAAGTGGTCAATGCATACATGATTGACCATTGACCTTTAGATGCAGACTTGCTGAAAGAAATCCATTTGTTCCCACAACTTGTAGAATACAGATGTTCAAATGTCTTCTCACCCTTTCCTCCCCCCACAAGGAAACCCTTAGTAATAGATGGGTCATGTTTTTCTTTTTCTGCAAAAGAATTCTGAGGTGAAAGGGTTAAATGAATCAAGCAAGCCTGGGGTCACTTCCTGTGCTCTGTGCCTCTTAGAGACAACTTGGTTGTGGAGCCATGAATGAAGGACCAGCCTAACGGCCAGACTTGTTAAGTACACAAGCATCAGGAGACACATTGTCCATGGGATAACTTAATTGTGAGAAGTTTAACAAAGGGAAGTTACAGTGGTTGGCCACAAGCTGTGTGCTATTAAGAGCTTTAACAAATCTGTACCCTTCCCAAGCCAGGTTTGGAAATAAGAAAAGTTGTATTAGAACACTTCCCATAGCCCACCAAATGCCTATTCTTAAAGAGAGAGAGAGAATTGTACAATTTAAATTATTTTGATTTAAAAGTTCCAGTGTTTCCCCCTGTTACAGTCACGTTAAATGTTATGACACATGAAGATGGCAGAAGAGAACTAAAAACATTTTTAATATTCCTGCATTTTGCTTTCCTTCTCACCGTGTATTGTGTCCATAGCCATCACCCTCCATTGCTCTAAGCCTGTGACATGCCCCTGGCTGCATGTGGAAGTTAATTTTCCTGGCTAGTGAAGTGTGGTGCCAATGCAACATGTTTCTGTGTCCCAGAACCTTTTGCCTGATTTCTTTTCATTTTAAAACTTGAACAGAGGAAATTAGAGAAGGAGGCACCTGTTGAGCAGGTGGTAAATCTCACCGTACTCTGAAAGGCAAGGCCCCAAGATCATTCTTCCTCAGCTCAGCCAGGAAAGTAGCAGAATGTTAAAGGAAATGTTCTCATGTGCTTTCTGTGCTTCTTTTCCTCTTTGAATTAAAGCTTTTTTCCTACATGCGAGAGTTTTTCATGACTTATATGGTGGTTGCAAAAAAAAAAAAAAAAAACCGCTTTCACTAGTTGGCCAAAGCCACAGCTAAGATTTCCTTCAGCTCTGACAGCAACATTTGCTGGCTGAAACCAGCCTTTTCCACCCCAGTTTCCATGGATATGGACTTCACATTACCAAAAATAGAATAAAATGCTTTAAAGTCACTTGATAGCTGAAGTGATTTGATTTTAAAGCATTCATCCCATTTCCACTGGGCCGTACATTGACTACTTTTGAGGTGAAATGTACCAGACATAAATGAGAATGAGAATTTTTGATGCATTCCCCCACCCACAGTGGTACTTGGCAAAAAAGTGTTAAAGGTTAGGGGTTTAGGGTTGTGTGTTTTTTTTTTGCCTGTCCCCAGTCTTTCCATAGACTCTCGCCAGTTTTCCCATGTCTGTTTTTCTCATCTATAAAATGAAATTTAGTGTACTTATCTCACTGGGATGCCAGGAAGTTTTGTTGCTTCATTAAGCATTTTGATCATGAAGAATAAATGCTTGTCTGTCATTTTCATTAGACCTGATTCTCCAGTATGTTAGAGTAAGTGAGTGAAATTAATGAAAACTGAAATCAGACTCCCAAATACAGAGAAGGTTTGGTATTATTGATCGCTTCTCTAGGTTGCTGGTAAGCATTTCAAGTGCCATTTTCATCTGGCATTTGATTTTGACTCCTAGAAACTGCATTTGTGAATTTCTACTGGTTGACTCATTCAATCCAGGTTGGGATTGTTGGGGAGAACCCAGCCACTGAGAAGAAGACTACAAACTCAGAGTGAACAGGGAAAACTAACCGCTGAGAACCGTTAATAGGGAGAAAGTTTTAAAGGTGGAGTTGCAAAATAAATCCTTGTGCCTAATTGCCAAAATGAATTGTGTTCATCAACTACTAGGAAAGAAATTCTGGTCTTCTATCCTCTTTTTGTTTATTAGAGCAACTCATGTTAACAATATTCCTTTTTTATCTAAAAGGTGATATCAAAAGAACAACAGATGTGCCAGGGATGTACTATGAAAATTTTTCTTCATCAATTCTGACATTAAAAATCATTTTTTACAACAGCTTAGAACCCTATTTAGCAGTGATTCATTAAGCAACGCACATCACTCCTCTCCCTGTGCCTTGCACATAGTAGGTGCTCATTAAGTGTTGAACAAATCAGAGTATGTGATGTGTGTGTGTGTGTGTCTGGTACTTTTGATCTTGTCCTTTTTTATGAGTTAGTAATGAGTTGGCTAAGACGGGTGGGACAAGTTTTAAAAATCACATTCCTCATTCCATTATACATAAAGTATTGGGGATTACCATCAGGAAAGGTTATGATATTTTTTAGGTGGACTGGTAATGTTCTTTTTGGTTAAATAAGATGTATGGATGATAAATATTTTATTTTGCTCTCCTGTTTGAGTTTCGTGAATTTTAAGAGGTAGTATCAATGTCAGCCCTAGGGCAAAAACAATTTGCTGGACGTGAATTATTTTTTAATTGTTAGAATCCTAAATTGCAAGAACCACCATGATCCTAAAAGCTCTTCATTTAATGCTGCCTTTAATCTCTACCTCTCAAATTAATCACTGACTTTTTTTTTAATCCTTTCATTCCGTCATTGCTGCCTGCTCCAAGGATTTTGAAGCTGTTTGCCATACAGGAGCCAGTATTAGGCTGTTTGTTGTCATGCTCCTCACATAGCTTTGTGGTTTTCAACATGTCCAAAAGCTCGCGTGCCACATCTTATCTGTGTAATCCTAGTGTGTATTGCGTAGATGTAGCTAATGGCAGTTAGCTCCCACCAGAACATTGTAACTGTTTCCTTACAGTTCTCTCTGCCTCTGGTTTTTTCCCTTTCCAGGTCATTTGCCCCATAGCTGCCAATGAAATCTTTATACTATACAGCCCAATTGTGTAACTCCTCTGCTCAAAAGCCTCCATTTGCTCCCCATTTCCCATAGGATATAATACAGAACTTCTTAGGTTGGCCTTCAAGACCTTACATGACTGGGTGCCAACCTTCCTTTCCAGCTTCCTGCTCTCCACACACTCTGCATTCCAGCCAAACCAGATTACTTGACTGCATGCGTCTGTACATGCTGTGCCCTGTGCTTGGAATGGTCTCTGCCTCCATTTCCCGCCTACTTAATTCTCCCCCTTCTTTAAGGCCCAGTCCAAGTGTTACCTCCATCAAGTCTTCCTTGACACCGCCACCCGCCCTCCAGTTAGAAATGATCTCTCTTCCCAAAGGTCTCGTTGCCAGTGACTTTGGGCTTATCCTATGCATTTATCATATAACTTGTATTATAGTTATTTGTGAATTTGTCATACCCCTTAACTAGATTGTAAGCTCCATGAGGGCAGGGACTTTTGTCTTGTTTAATCCTTGTATTCTCAGCACCTGGAACAGTGCAATGCACTAGTAGGTGCTTAATAAATGTTTGTCAAATCAAGTTGAATTCAAACTCTGTATACAGAATAACTGGTTGGTTTGAGAGGGGATATGGATGTTTTCTAAATGTAGACATTAAAAAATTCACTCCTGGCCCATACAGCATTATTTTCTTTTTGGAGCGAAAAGGAGGATGTTGGCAAGTCAATTCCTTTTCCCATAGATGTGGCTGAATACAGTGGCATCATTCAGACAATAGAAATTGCCAGAGGTCTTTGCTTTCACAGCTGATGCAACCATCTCAGCCACAGAACAGTATTGGGCCCTGTGCTCATTGTGCCCCGAGTATTAATTATCTTTCATTCTTTGTTACTGATCCTGGAAATCATACTCCAGGGTGCCTGTAAACACTGAAGCACCAATAAAGAAATACCTCCTCAACAGGGAGAGGACTCTCTGAGTAGTGGAGGTATGTAGCCGTGCTAGTGGTAACTGCCTGTCCTGCTTTTGTGCTTCAGTCTCACGACCATGCTAAGCTTGTGGCTCTCTTATCCTGTATTGAATACAACCAGTGTGTGTCACTGTTCTAGTTGTCCAGCTGTGCTCTTAGGAAGAAAGGTTTGCAATTTTTTTTTAAAAAAATAAAATCTGGGAATTAAGAACCAAATGCATTTTCATGAATAAAGTATGCATATGATAGCTTTAATTATACTATCAGGTTACAAGCAGGATTTATGTAGTACGGTGCCCATTGGAAAATCTGGATTGTAAACCTCGTTCCCACTAACCTGGCAAAAATAAACCTTGGTTAGTTTTCTTCACTGACTGCACATATCGGGGAATGATTATGGATTTTAAAGGTTTAACCTGGGGAAAGCAGAACCCCGCCCATACCTTTAGAGACCTCAACTTGTATTGTTATAGGCAAAAGCCCTTTGGAATAATTGCAGGAGGGACATGGACGTGATGACTTAGACAAAGCCCATCTGAGGACTGGGAATACGTGGGCAGTCACTGATTCTATCTGTCTCCCTCTTTTTCCCTCTCAGATCACTTGTAGCCCTGGACAGCCAGTATTTAGACTACTCCCTCTTTCCCTCTTCTCCACCCCCAGACTAGTTGGGGCCTGATGATCTCAGACTCTAATTTTTATAGATGGTTACACCACCAAGCAGCTCTCCGGATGTTGGCTTCATTTGCGATTAACTGGACATGTCCTCAGTGGAAAGAGTAATAGGTGGAACCCATCATTAAGTAAGCCCAGAGCTTTTCTTATGTCTTGTGGTAAGCAGAATCTGCCTCTGGATTTGACATCACTCTTTTCAGTGGCCTTTTAAAAGTCATTCAAGACTCCAGTTTCCAAAACTCCTATTCTGTATCTTGTTTTGAGCTCTTTTTCTAGTGCTTTTGTAAGGATTCTGCTCTGAAGCTGCTCCTTTGGCTGGCAATTCCTCACACCAGGGGGCAGCCTGAAGCTCCCTCTGCCCTCAGGAATCTGATTTATGATCTGGGAAGGCCATAAACCTCCGCTCTTCACTTCTGAAAAACAGAAAAGTATGGGAAAGAATGTAAATTATAAACACTGAATTCCTATGATCAGCAATAATGTAAAGGCCGATTTTTATTGTAGTGTACATACGGATTTAATTTCTTAGGGTTTGTTCTGCCAGGGCCCTCAATAATATTTCTAAGGACAGATAAAAGTGAAATGCCTTACCGAGTTACCAGGGCTTTCCAAATAAAAAACAGCATTTTTGGGGTGATTCATTGGTTAAAACATTGAAACACTACCCTACACAAAGAAGGATGTAGAAGTTAATATTGGTGACCCGTATTAACTAGGCTGTCCCAACACAGTGGTGTTTAGGTTTGCATCCAAGCAGCTTTATCCAAACACAACCCCAGGTCTTTTTCATTCAACAAAATGCTTAATTTTAGTTTCCTGATCAAATTAGACAGTAAGGAGATTTTCAGCAACACTTCTTTTTTTTCCCCTGAAATTTTGAAATTCTGCCCCTAGCTCACTAACTGAAAGCAGGTTTGCTATTACTACCGCCTCAGAAGGCTGGCTATGGAGACACACTGAGGCCAAAGCAGAATCTCCTTTGAATTTCCATTCCAGGGGTAGGCCAGTTCTAGGCTTGCATTTCACAAGCAAGGGTAGCTTTTTGCTGTGCTAAAGAATAAGAAAGATGAGACAACTCATGATAGTTTCCTGTTACTATTCTCAGAGATGATGATCAAATGTTTCTGCAGATCTTTCTTCAGCATTCAGATTATGTTTATATTCCAATTTATCCTAGTTCACAATGATCAGCTATGGATAAAAAATGCACCAATTGGCTTCCAAGTTTCCAATGTGCAATTATGCTGCCAGAATTTAGAGTTTAGGTTTGAGTTTGCCTTTTTTTCTTTTTTTTTTTTTTGAGGTAGGATTAAGTTGTGACAATGTCTATTTCTGCAGAAGATTAATATTAGTGTAATGGAAACTATGATACTTATAATTACCTACTTCAAAGATTTATTGTTTTGTTATTTTCCAGTATAGATAGACCACTACCTTAATACAATTTGGCCG